CGTATCCATCTTTTCATTCTTTTCAGAGCAGTTTCAGTCGTGCAGTAGTATTTATTTATCATATTTATAACAACATTTATACCCAGTTTCATTTTTACTTTGACACATTTAGAAATGTTTTGGAGGAAAAATCGTCATTTTTTAATCAAAACAGAAACCAGGCTCCTGGTCTCTGTGACCTTTAGGCCTCATCAGGCTTTCAAAAAGGTTCCCGTTCCAGGACTTACTCTTCTATACGAGTGATGGGCTTCAGCTTCCAGCATTCCTCCTCATCGTCGAAGAAGGCCCTGTTCACTATTTTGTTCTTCTCCTCCGAAGGAATGAAGTTTTCAATGATCAGATGCCTGAAAGAGGAAAACAGAGCAGTGAGCATCGGGTCCACAGGCTCCGCCTCCTGCCCACAGGCTCCGCCTCCTGTCCACAGGCTCCGCCTCCTGCAGGAGAACGTTTTCCCACAGGCTCCGCCCCCCACAGGCCCACAGGCTCCACCTCCTGTTTATGTTTATGTTTATGGATTTGTCAGACGCTTTTATCCAAAGCCACTTACAGAGTAGACACAATATTACATTTCTCATCACTATGACAATAAGATATCCAGAGGAGAAACCCTGATCAGAGTCAGTGGTGAGATAGAGATAGAGGTAGAGGGACTACAGAAGGAGCTGTGGGGGGTAGAGGTCCTGCAGGAGAACATCTGCCCACAGGCTCCGCCCCCCACAGGCTCCGCCCCCCACAGGCTCCACCCCCCCACAGGCCCCGCCCCCCCCCGCTTCCCCCCAGGCCTCTCGGGAGCGGCGTACTTGAGCTTGAGGTCCCGGGTGAGCTCGTTCTGGGTCTGCTCGTACTCCTGGCGCTCCTTGATGTGCTCCCCCTGCTGGTCCTGGATCTCGGCCTTCACCGCCTGCAGCTTGGAGAACAGCTGGAGGCCGGAGGCCCCCCAGGAGCCGTTAAGAAACACATCTGCACTACGGCAACAGCTGAGGCCAAAAGCCACTGAAAATAGATCCTGACCCACTTAGTCTGACAGCTTCTCAGCAGCAGAAGCTTTGAATTTCTGGATCCTTTACTGTCGTTCATTTGTTCATATTTTATATTGTTTTATGTAAGGATGTCCAGCTTTTTTCACATCCGATACCCGGCCTATCAGAGTATGTATTAAAGTTTAAAGTTATTTATCTACTTACTTAGTTCTCAGACTCATGTTGAACAGGGATTTACTGATAACAACTTAATGGTTAGGACACAGACCTGTGGCATAGAGATGCTAATGCAAATTCTCGTGTGGGATCGGTATTAAAAAAAAAAAAAAACTGGATCTGGAGTCTGGATCTGTGTTTTCTCCAGCAAATTTCGGCGGCCAAAAATACGGACAATAACATCTCCTAAATGTTTGGTCGGAAGACACACGGTGTGTTTAGATATTTTATTCTATTCTGTATAAGAACTTCATCTTGGTTGTAAATGTTTATTAGCTAACGTGGTTTGTGTTGTTCATTATATCTAGTGTGTCTAGTTTTTGCTAGCAGAAGATATGGAAAGGAATAAATGCTAGAAAACCTTCTATTCTGCCCCAGACGAAGACCTTTGGGAGAGTTTATACACGCGTTGTCTAAAGACTTTTTGGCTCAGACCTTTTTTTTTGGGGGGGGGGGCAGCTTGTCCTTTACCTTTTTCAGCTTCTTGGTCTTGATGTCCACCTCCTGCTGCAGAG